GTGGGGGGTGTCCTTTTAGAGACTTAGAAGTCAAATGAAACACCCAGAAGAGCATCTGTTTAGTACTTGAAACTGGCAAATCTGTGTCACAAGTATGTGCAACTGGGACTTTTAGTAACTATGCAAGACCAGCTGAATGATACCAAGTGCATTTGAGAAAAAATTTCAACTGTGGAGTATTTGTGCTTTGGATTCTCCACCGGGCAAGAGAAGTCAGTTGTCTACATGAACCTAACGATGTGTGTTTCGTGGACAAGGTGGGTTCAGGAAAGTGAGGGAAAGGAGGAAAAGGCAGGAATCCAAGCTCCTGGTCTTTGGATAGGAAGATCTTTTTCTTTGAATCCCTCAGTGGTGAAAAGAGAGGAAATCTGAGTCACATCAGGAGCGAGATGAGAGGCCGTGCCCTATTTTAGCTCAAAGACTCCTTAGGAAGTTAGCGTCATCCACTCTTTACAACCCACTTCGGGGCCATCAACTTTAAGGTCAGTGTGTACAACTCCAGTTTCTCATCACTGGACTCTCTTTCTCCATGACAGAAAGTCCACTGAAGACTCACAGCATTGGTCTGATAAGGCAGCACTGAGGCGTGTGTCCAAAGGCAGCCAGTAGTTCAGGAGAGGCCACAGCTTCTGCGTAGGCTGAATTCTCCAGAAGTTATCACTGTTGTACTTAGCATCATCCCACTTAGGGGTAGACTGATTAAAATTTTTCTGCCTGAGGGAGCAGAATTGTTTTTATCGTAACGTGATTTTATTTTCTGCATCCACACCGGTGTTTTCACTTAGCTTATAATAGAAATAGGATCCTAGTAAAATACACAATGAATTTTTAGAGCTGAACATGACCTCAAAGATTCTAGTCCTCTTCATTTTGTAAAAGAAATAAGGTCTAGGCCCTCCCTGGTGGTGCAAGGGGTTAAAGTGCAGCACTGTGAAGCTATCTGCAGCCACTGCAGCACAAGGTCAATCCCTGCCAGGGAGGTGACCCACATGATGTGGGAGACTGGCTGCTCCCCTCAGCAGTGTACTTCTGCCTGTTCTGCTCCCCACTCTGTCTCTGGTGAATCCTCTCACCCCCCACACTTCTGACCTGTACCCCAGTTCTTGTATGCATAAATAAATCTTTAATAAAGAAAAATGAGGTCTAGAATGATTAAATATTTTGACTTAATTTATACTTCTGTAAATAATCTAAACTATGATTCCAATAAAAAGTCAAGGCTGTAAGGGCTTTGTGAATTCACTTGAAAGTTGGCAGCTAATAAGGATTGAAGCTGTAGTCAGGCTTCCATCTATTTTTCTCTGATGGTTTTGGAGGTAGCTGTGATATGTCATGCAAGAGCAATCTGATACCATCCCCCATTGTGTGGGGCAGCCTGGCTTGTGCAGATAGAGGAAGGTTCTGCATACTTGGGCAGGTAATGGGAGCACGGTAATGTGCTACTTGTTGAATCAATGATGAGGCAGAAAGGATTTGGGGTTGTATTTCTACTTGTTTCTGGAATCTGATCCTACATACCACAAAGTAACAACTGGCCCCTGCTTCTTCCCCAGTCTTAACTTGAATTCTCGCTGGCTCTTCCTCAGCTTGGAGCCTCCTGTACACCTTCCTTTCAGGAGATGGTGTGAACCAGCTAAACAGAAGACACTCACTTTGGGATCTTCTTTTTATTTTTTAAAAAAGTGAATCTTTTAAAAAATATCTTTGCTGGAGGCCACCCAGAAATACCCAATCAGAATTTCTGAGGGGGAAGTCTGGGGGGGGGGGAGTTGTGTTTCTATTGTTCTTGGTAAAGAAGCTTATGCACGGTGAAGATGGAGATTCACTGGATTTGCAGAGGAAAATCACTGACAGAGGCTGCAATAATCCATGCTGGGTGATTTGGAAATAATTGAAATGAAATCATGATTAACACAGAGCAGGCTCAAGCAATCTTTTCTTAGGAAATTGGATACTTTCAGGAATGTAGTCTAAAAACTATAAAATTACCTTTATACTTTATTATATTATTCCAGATACAATAATAATTTGGAAAACAGGGGACTATGCAAAATAAAAACCAGCAAGAGAGATACAAGCCCTGTTAGACTTTTAGCCCATTAGACTTACTCTAAACATTTTGTTATAATATTTTCCTGCTTGCTACTCCCATCCCTCGTGTCTTCTTGTTCCTTTCCTGCCCCCAAACCCTTAACCTCAGAGCCCTCAGGATGACGATTGATGGCCAGTAGTTTTTGAAACTGTTCTGCTTTACTAAATTGTCTATTACATGAAGTCTAATGTGTATCACTCTGATTTTGCTGCTTATATTGTGTGTAAATTCCCTTCATTTAGTAAAAAATTAAAAAATGTTTTTTCAATTAAAATTTTAAAGAAATTCTAAAATAAAACAAAACATCCATTATCCTCAGATTTCTCCGTGGGCTCTAAATACAATAGCTGTTTGATAGTCAACTATCTTCATTTTTAAAAATGCATTCAATTTCTCCACAATTTTATCAAATTTTTACTTAGAAATTCTTGTCATGTTTCTCTGCAATAAAAATGTTAATTTGCATTAATTTCTTTTAAAAACCTTAATTTCTTCTAGCCTGATTAATTATAAATATTGTTAATATATAATTGAATATAACAAGCACACATTTTGAAGTACTCTAAAATATAAAAGTAAAATTTTATGGAAATACATCTCAATCAGATTGATGCTTTTTTAAAAATTAGATATGTATGGATGAAAATTGTTCATTGCTCTGGTGAGCCAGAGTTCAATGGCCATCAACAGCAAAAAGGTTATTGAGAACACAAAAACATTAATTCAAAAAGATACCTGTAACCCTATGTTTATTGCAGCACTATTCACAATAGGTAAGATATGGAAACAACCCAAGTGCCCCAAAAATATATGACTGATCAAGATGTGGTACATATAAACAGTGGAATATTATTCAGCAATCAAAAAGATAAATCCATGCCATTAACAGCAACATGGATAGAGCTTGAAGGGATCATGCTCAGTGAAAAAAATCAGAAGAAAAAAAGAAAAATATCGAATAGTTTCACTTATAGGATGAATATAGGGGAACCAAATAAGGAATCAGGAAAAAAAATAACAATAATAATAAAACAAAACTAACAGGCAACCATAAATAAGAGACATTCTGCAAGGGCAGGGGAGGAGAAGAGATCAAAACGGGATAGAAGAGCACAAGAGACTCTGGTGATGGCTCAGGGGTGAACTGGTGGTGGGAATTTTATAGAGTACACAACGATATAAAAGATATAAATTTTAAAATTTATAAAAAAGTAAAAATAAAAACAAAAAAAAAGGTTATAAGTGTGGGACTTAAACAAATTACCTGAAAAGTGTAATCTTACTCTTCTAAATCACATACAATGTTATACTCCAGCTACCTCAATTGAAAAAAATTGATATTATAATTATGTACCTATTTGTTGAATATCAATAATAAAGTTTATTGAAGTTATAACCACTCCATGTGGTTTGTCTTAGGTGGTTATAAACAAAACAATGAAATAATCCATCATTTTCAATGAGCAGTAAAGTGCCAAAGTTTAAATAAATGGACTAAAAGTTTTTTGATTAGCTTTTTTGGCAAAGCTAATGAAATGTTCCCTTAAGAACCAGGAGAATAAGTTTTATTTGAAAATATAATGTTGATCTGTGGAAAATAAACACTGAAGCTTTCACCTCATTAAATGTAATACATAACAAACATACATATACACATACTACAAATATATATATATAAACTAAAATGCAGATTTATAATTTAGTTTGAGGAGGTTTACTTGAGACTAATATTTCAAACTGTGCCTTTATTTTCTGTGTGGAAGGCTGTCTTATACTCCAGAAGCACCTTAGTAAAATCAGTATGGATAAAAAAATAAGATTTTTTTTTTGTGAAGTCTGCAATTGAAAAGCAGAAAAGAACCTACAAAATTTTGCCTTGACAGCAGACAATTCAATCTTAGGAGGAAGCATGTACTTTAAGTAGAGAAACTGGGAAACAACTTCTCTAAAAATGACTGATAGTTGCAAACTTGAAACTTGGGAAAAGATTGAAATGTGAGTGGCTTGAATACCCCTGTTTGAAAGCCACTCATATATAAACTATATGAAAGCATTTCACAGAATTACTTATATTAGGTGGTCACAGAAAAGAAGTGAAACAGAATTTTAATTATAGAAATAGAAAACAAGTTTGGGGAAAAGAGAAAATTATATTACTTGTGAGGGACTTAGCAAACATTTCTTTACTGTAGTTCCACCTATTTTACCCAAATTGTGACTCAACGATAGTAATACACCCTAGCCAAGATAGGTCATAAACTCATTCTGTAACCTGTTGACCTTAAATCTCTCACTGCAGAACTCCTAGTCAATATTCCAGTCTATCTCTTAACACAACTGCATACCCATCAGAAGCTGCAAGGGTCACATTAGTCTAATACCTCAATATTCACCAGCGACAACTATACAAAAGTATACTTCAACAACTATACAAAAGTATACTTAAAAAAAAGTATAAGTACTTTTCAAAATCGATATTTCATCTCATTTATTGTAGAAATGACTGTATATCTACTTTATGAAAATATAAATCGTCAGTAACACAACCATCATCTTTAAAGCAAACTGACCCCAAGTGTTCTAGGTCACAGAAGTCACTGACAAGTCATTTTTTAAAATATACTGTCTATAGGCTAATTTGGCAATCATTTGGTCCTCCCTGCTGGCACAACAGGTTAAAGCGTAGCACTGTGAAGCTATCTGAAGCCATCTGAAGCCAATGCAGCAGTTTGATTCCTGATCTGGGAGGTGACCCACTTTTCGGGGCAGACATCTCCTGACCCGCCCCCCTGCTCCCCACAGCTGTGTACTTCAGAATATCTGCCTCTTCTGCTCCCACTTGTCTCTGATGAATCTGCTCACCTCCCACACCTCTGGCCTGTAACCCAGTTCTTGTATGCATAAGTAAATAAATATAAAAAGAAAAAAACATCCTTTGGATTTATATCTTGAATTATGTTCTAGTCATCAACAAATAAAGTCCAAGACTAAACAAAGTTCTAGTGAATTTCTCACGGCATTACAGTTATGACTGGCTGATACACCCTTTCCCTTTGAGTCATAAGCTCAAGGGCCCAGAGGGATCAGGAACTGACCTGAATGTGGAAGTAGGTACCACAACAAAGACCACATTCTGTTCTAAAGGCACTCAGCTATTTTTTAATATGTGTAAGCCAAACAAAACATTATCTAGGTTGAATTTGGCAAATCTAAGTCTGAAATTCTGCAATTCTCATTGTTTGCTTTCACAACATATTGAACACAAAGTATTTACCAAGTGCCCACGAGAAATAAGATACATATAATTAGAATGTGATAGTGTTTATTAAATGTTATTGTTGACAAAGCAGGTACATAAAAATACCTCCATATACTGTCAGCAAAGTGATGAGAACTATAGTTACTACTGAAAAACACAGGGGTTGGGAGTGTGATCCCTGTGCAGCTGAAATGCACTTACAACTGTTGACTCACCCAAAACATATTATTAATAAGACTGCTGGTGACCTAAAGCCTTATCAATAATATGAACAGTTAATTACCATATTTGTGTATGTATGATATATTTGACTCTTACAGTGAAGTGAGAGGAAATATAGTTATAGTATTCCAGTCAAGAATCAACTAAATACTTCTGAAAAAACCCACATCTACCTAGACCTGCACATTTTAAACAGTTGGTGGAGAAGGGGCAAATGTATATATACAAATTCCAGATCAAATCTATATCCCTGATTTAACTACACAAAAGGAAAAACATAGTTCAGGTGAAAAGAACACTTTAATACTTTAATATCAAAATCAGCTATCTCATATTCACCAACTCTTATATTCATATCTCTAAGAGATATTCAGAGTAGGATTAATTTTAAGAAACATTCTTAGAAAATGGAGAGCATTCTGTACTTCATTTCCAAATTTAAACCAGGTCCTTTCATAAATTACTTCCTATTCACTGGATTTTAGTGTTTATATCATGAACTAGTATAACACATCACTGAGGTATCATTAACATAGCGAATAACCTATATGTTTGGATTTGTCATCCCAATTCCTTGGCATTCAATAACATAAGTGTCTTTAGAGGCATCTTCTTCATCCTCTGATTTCTTCACAGTAAACTTAGCCTGAAATCAGAAAAAAATTTAGTGTATAAGTAATATAAAGAGGAATAAAAAGATGAGCATATAATTTATACGTAGGTAGTTAATAATCAAACTCATTTTATTGAAGCGAGAGGCAAAAAGTCCAAATGACTCATGACTCAATAGCCTAGATATAAATAACTGCTCCAGAAACATAGTTATCATTCAAAGATATACAAACCTGTGGACTTTTGTCAGTATGTGCAACCTAGCCATTCCAAGCCAGGGGACCAGAATCCCCAGGAAGGTACCCTAGGCAAAGATCAATTTCAAATGTACAACACCTCCACTGGCTACTTGCTAAAATTTTTCTATAAAGCTCTGGAGCATTTAGTCTGCTTTTATCTTGTCACATATAAAAGCATCCTTTAAATGCCCACATTTTTTTTTTTGCTAATTTATTCCCTAAATAAACAATTTGAAAAGATTAACTTCAGGGAAAACAGGTGGAAGGAAGTAAAGATTAACATCTTCCTTTGTCTTTATTGGGATTAGCAATGTATTCTAGTGTTAACTGGTTAATGTAACTGGCTTGTTAATAAGTACATGTTTGGTTTTGAAATGGTTGCTCTCTATCACACTATTCTGGAAATATGTTCACTCTAATAAAACTGAATTATAAAACAAAACAACTGTGCTGGCTAACTAAATTTGTGGCAAAGGAATTTCAAGAATGCCTCAAACCTTAGGCTTCTTTGAAATGCAATTTGAAAACCATTACTCTGGTTCCCTAGTGAATATTAACATTCACAAATCATTCCAGTTGGAGAGCTACATGGCAGTATACTGACATACAGTGGACATTAAAGTTATTGCTGGGGGGGGGGGAAGTGCACAGGACTATGGTGATGGCACACGGGTGAATTGATGATGGGAAGTCCATGGGGATTACAACTGAGATGGAAAAAGACACAAAATGATGTAAAAATAAACTATTACAATAAAATAAAAAAATTATTGCCGAGTTAATAAACACTGAATTCTGATCCAGATAGTCAAATTATTCACATAGTTATATGCAATTTTTTCCTGTCAAATTATAAGCATTTTAAAAATATAAAACAATGGTAACTTATGGAAATAATTTCTAGGCTACATATAAATCTACCAAAACTACAAAAACTTAAGGAGTCTTTGGAAGGAGGCTTATGGGTCTGTAGCCCTAATCTCTGATATTATAGATGAACTATTGGCACCAAGGCACAGAATGATGAAGCAGCATTGCTATGTCACTCTGTAAAACACAACAGAGCTGAACAAGTAACCAAAAGCTATACATTCCACCCACTTCAGGAATGTGTATGTTTTCTGCTATGATTTGCCACAAATAACATATTAATGTCTACTACATGCAAAGTCCCATAAAAAGTAAAGACTTCAGCAATCAAAAAGATAAACTCAGGCTGTTTGCAGCAACATGGATGGAGCTAGAAGGGGTCAGGTTCAGTGAAATAAGTCAGAAGGAAAAAGAAAAATGTTGGATGGTTTCAATTATAGGAGGAATATAGAGAAACCAAGTAAGGGTTGGGGGAAAAATAACAACAACAACAACAACAACAAACACACAACACAACACAACAAAAATAAACAGCCAACTATCATTCAGAGACATTCTGCAGGGGAAGGTGAGGGAACGAGGGCAGAAGAGCACATGGGACTATGGTGATGGTGCCTGGGCGAACTGTGGTGGGAATTCTATGGGGACTACACCTGAGAGGGAAAAGCAGACACAGTACAAAAATGAACAATGATGTAACAAATATATAAATACATAAATTATTTAAACAAGCAAACAAAAATAAAGACTTGAGTGAATTCTTGGTCCCTGGTAGCCAGAAAATCAGTCATAAAGGAAGAGAGAGGAGTAACAGTTACAATGGAGCATAAGTAGAATAGAAAATAGGGCCTCTCCGGTGGCGCAGGGGTTAAAGTCAGTGCTATCAAGTAGTGAGCAACCATCCCAGCCAGGATTGTGACCCACGTGGCGCAGCAGGTCTTTCCTGTCTTGCCCGCTGCTCCCCTCAGCAGTGTTTTGGTAGATCTACCTGTTCTGCTCTCCACTCTGTGTCTGGTGAATACTCTTACCCCCTGCACCTCTGGCCTGTACCCCACTTCTTCTATGCATAAAAAAAAAAAATAAAAATCTTTAAAAAAAAGAAAATCCAGTTAACACTCTCTCAACATCAAATATAATTTGCCTTCAATATCTATCAGTCTTATACAGTGTAACCAAAATCTAGCTATGCTTTTTAATAACAACAAAAAAGCACATATTATTAAGAATCACAAACTGTTAGAAGTAGGGCAATAGTGACTGTACCGCATACACTCCTGTCGTGTTTAATTTCCTTTTTACTTGTGTCTATTGCTGAAATTATCCTTTTAAATGGCTAAGGTTATCACTTTCCTTCACATAAAATTTCTAGTTGTCAATTTCATATTACTTTATACAATTATATTATAATGACTACAGCAAAATAAAAATGTTGTGTATTGCTGAAAATGGCAAGAAATAAAGCTGCATGCATTAGCTATAAAAGAAATGCAAAGAAATAATATTTTTAAAGTAGATGGAAAATACCTAAATGTCAACAGTGGGGATATTACAGACCAGTTTTTTCCTCTATTTTCCATAAGGAAATAAGTTTCAAATAAATTATCATAATTTGAAAAAATTAAGAATTCTGGGACCTCCCTGGTGGCAGGGGTTAGTCTCAGCACTATCAAACTATCCCAAGCCACTGCAGCACAAGTTCTATCCCCAGCCGGGGAGGTGACCCACATGGCACAACAGACCTCTCCTGTCTGCCTGCTGCTCCCCTCAGCAGTGTGCTTCATTAGTCTGCATGTTCTGTTCCCCGCTCTGTCTCTGGTGAATCCTCTCACCCCCTCAAACCTCTGGCTTCTATTTGTATGCATAAATAAAAATAGATCTTTAAACAAAAAATAAAGATTTCTGTAAAAAAGGTATGAATATAGGTTTATACAATCTTAGAGCCTTTTTCACTAAAAAAATTATAGCTCTTTTCTTTGAAAGAACTGGTGACAGAGGTCAGAATTTCAACAAATATTCTAATGTACTAATAGATCATGAGAAAATAAACATTTTACATTTCCGTAAATATCGACGTTTGTAACTGATTAGAAATCCTTTGTGATTTAATGTCACAATTCCCACGAAAACGTCTTTCCTCACTCTGTGAAGCATATCGCATAGGGGCTTTGGTTCATGCTTTCCCGGGTTTCCTCAAAGTCCAGCTCAGTCACTAAAGATGATCAGGTCTTGGGCAATTAATTTAAAACCCTGCCTCAGCTTACACATATGTATAAAGGGAATAATAATAAATAGCCTTCTAAATGGCCCTGCAAAGTCCAAAGACTCAGACAAATTGCTGAATTGGTGCAGTGCCTGCCATGATACGAGTACCCAGTAACAGCAGTCATGATAATCATTAGGTTTTCTAGTTATTAAAATTCCACCCCAAATTGAGTGTTATCAGTAGCAACCCCATTTTTTGATGTAATACTAACCTTTGCTAGCTGTTCAGCAAAATGTATAGCAGTTTGTGTATGGAGTGTCACTGGGCCAGTTTTTATTCTGGAAACTCCATTGGCTAACGCCATGAAAATGATCAGCTGTTGGAAACAAAACCAAGAAAAAAACTCATGCATTAATTAGTACTTAGGAGTGAAACTGCTATCATTTTCCACCTGAAAATACAACTAAACATCAAAATAGCTAAAAAAATAATTCATTTATTTAGGTTTCCAGAAGTCTAAGAAGATAGGAAATCTGTATCACCTGGAATCAGTGGTACAGAAGCTTTCAATAGCTGTTCTCAAGACAGATTTTAAATTAATGTTTAAGAATATACTATTCAGTCAAAATGTAATATATTTAATCAGACCAACTATCTCTGCAACTCAGCATATATATTACAAATTCTTTCCACTCTCTTACAGGTTAACTAGTAAATAACTAATACAGAATTACCAAGACTATAGACCTAGACAAGAAGAAAGAGACCAGAAATCAGGGAAATTGTCTGAAGAAGCTGGTCAAGAAATTTTGAAAAATACATTTGTAAACGTAAGACTGCTGGTTTTAGATTAAGGACAGAAAAATGTAGTAGACAGAAAATCTATCAAGACAGAAAACGGTCAGAAATATCTTATTTAGAAATATTCACTAGGGCCCTTCCTGGTGGAGCAATGGGTTAAAGTGCAGTACTATGAGTTAGCCACAGCTGTTTCAACATGAGTTTGATGCCTGGCCAGGGAGGTTACCCAAACAGCACAGCAGAGCTCACCTGTCACACTCACTGCTCCCCTCAGCAGTGTATTTCGGTGGATCTGCCTGTTCTGCTCCCCACTCTGTCTCTGATGAATCCTCTCACCCCCTGTACCCCTGGCCTGTACCTCAGTTCTGTATGAATAAATAAATCTTTTTTGAAAAAAGAAGTATTCACTAGCATTCTCAATAGATGTGCTAAAGTTCAAGAGGTCTGTGAAATAGAGGACAGAGATATTAGTATACATAATAAGTATGGAGTTACGGAGAAAGGTCTGGGCTAGCGATATGTATTAGGGAATTGCTAGAGTACAGACTGTACTTAAGCCATGAGTCTGGACAAAAGAACTAAGGAAATGAATATAAAGAAAAAAGGTGTGAGCCTGAGTCTAGAGGACCTAGACTCAGATTTGAAATTTAAAGTTGGAAGATGAAAACAAGAAGTCAGCAAAAAGATGAGAATGGGCAGCCAGTGAAATAGAAATAGAAATTATTTTAGAACCAAGTGAAGAAATGATTTCAAGAAGGAAGGAGAGATCAATTGTGTTAATGCACTATAGCAAAGTCAAGCTGAGGGCTGGAATGGAAGGCCAGCAAAGTCCAGAATATTTTGAAAACTGACTGAACTAATACATGGCAATCAATGACCGAAATTTCAGTGATCAAAATGTATATTCAATCTAATTACCAAATATTCAAATCTAACAAGTTCAAAGGCTTTTTTGCTAACAGTATCATTACCTGGTCTTGCAGATACTCATCCACAGTACCGCCATGTCTAAGATTTGCTAAGAGCATTTCAGCAGCATCAATTCCAACCTTGTCTGCATTTACACCTGTGACAGGAATAATGTAAAGAATGAGTAACCAAGAGGCAAAAAATGATATATCCTAGTTGACACTGGTATAATATTTTTTTAGATTTTTGCACTAGCCCAACAGAACCTTTAAGACAAGATCTTCATGCATACTTAAAACTTATGAGAGCTTAGCATAATGCAAATACTTTTCTGGTATGCATTAACTGCTTATTTCTCAAGAGAAACTATTCCTTAGCTCAAATATTCATGTTTCATAGTTCAGGTACACAGATCAGTGACAAACTTCATGAAATCATGCTGCATTCTGTAAGGCATTAGCCTTCCTCCTTCTCAAAATCTGTAATGGAACCATGATGTCTGTAAAAATCTACATATACCTTCTTTTTGTGGTTCTACCCCCGCAAACTTATAAAGAGCTGGACCACCAAGAACACAATCAATTGTGTAACATTGTGAAACCACAAACTCTCAGTCACTCCATTCCTTGGTGTAGACCTGCATTTCTGACCTAAATTGCTATAACAAATTCTGGTCTTCCTGCCTCCTATCTGGCTTTTCTCTAATCCTCTACATATGGATAACCACAAAAATTACCCAGCCTGAGATCTGCTATTAAAACTCTCCTTAAAATCTTTGTTACAGGACAAAACCCCAGCTTTTCCATAAGGTCAATAGAGTCCTTCAAAATCTGGCCTCTGCCCACCTCTCTAAGCTCACCTCTCTCTACTTCTACATTATCATTTTAGTTGCCTGAACACAGAGCTCTTTATTGTCATCACTTTCCTTTGTTCTTCTTCCTCAGACCTCACTTTTTTATCTGGCTAACTTATACTTATCTACAGAGCCCACTGGGGTAATCACTGAATAGCAGAAGCTAGATTTGAAGTCAATCAGTCCACCCAAAAGAACTAGCTATTCTCCTTGTGTTGCTAAGGCAACACAAGGAGATACCACACCACACTTACAGCACCCACCTGGCTCTTCTTCCAGAAAGCAGGAAGCAGGAGGGTGGCTCTCATTTCTGGCACATGTTGGTACCCAATGAGACTAGAAATAAAATGAACTAACATTCCTCCTATGCCTGGCAAGCACTCATAATGTCTGCTTTATGTTGTTTATTCTGTGTTATTTTTATCTTCTCAAGACTGTTGTAGATACCACATGCTTTCTTAAGATTATTGCAGATACTGCGCTTAACATATGAGTATGTGTCTGATCACTACTTCTCAAAGTTCAGTATACCATAGAAACAGAGTACCTAGAGAGCTTGTTAAAACGGATTCTTTGACCTCACTCTAAGACTCCTATTTGGTATTTCTTTTTAATTTATTTTCTGATATCATTGTAGTCCCCGTAAACACTGCCATTTTTATATCCAATGATGCTATATAGGGATACAATAAGAAAGGTGGAAGGAAGAGGGTCAAGACAGGGGATGGATGAACACAAGAGAATATGGTGATGGTTCATGGGTGATAAATTGAGGGAAAAGACTGAAAATGTGACTCTAAAATAGAATCGGGTAGCCCTCCCCTCCTTACCCTTTTAAACCTGTCATCTGTCATTCAGACACTCATCCACAGCACAAATTCTAATCCTGGCAGACAATTAAAGAATTTAACACTACCTCGTTTACCAAGTGATGACCCAGCAAGCAAACACCCTGTGGAGGTCTCAGCAATAATGCTATATAGGAGTAGGAAAAAAAAAAAGAATTACTGCCCATGCAATAAAAACTCATTTTATACCTTCATCAGGGTATTAGTACCCTTCAATACTTCTGACACTAAATTCAAATCCACTTTCAGGTAAGAAATGGCTCTTTCAGAAGCTACTAACTCTTATTTGTATCATTTCATTGTACTAGTATTTTACAATTACCTTAAATGAACAGGTCTTTCTACAGAGATCCTTGGTTTTGCTTTATAGTCTTTATATATTATTATCATATGTAAAGAATTTTTAATACTCTATTAGAAACTGAGGAGATTTTAAAATTCAAATATCTGCAAGTGACCATACTTCAAAAACATCAATTAAAAATTTGTATAATACTTATATCAATAATTCCTACTTGAATTAATAGTACCTATATTTCTTTCTTAAAGAGATCTTTTCCATCTTAATATTTACTTCATATGTGTGATAAAGAAAAGCAAATGGAAATATTTCTCTTAGTATCAGCTTCAAAGGTTAACGTCTCGTTAACAAACATTTAAGTTCATTGTATAAATGAAAAGGCTTGTACAATAAAATAAAAGACAAACCAGGGGTCTCTCTCATGGCCTAGGGGTTAAGTCCCAGAGCTACCTCCACAAAGGCTCATTGCAACAGCCTGAGTTCAATCCCCAGCCAGGAGCTGACCCACATGGTGCAGCAGACCTCTTCTGTCTTGCCCGCTGCTCCCCTCAGCAGTGTATTTCAGTAGATCTGCCTGTTCTGCTCCCCACTCTGTCTTCAGTGTATCCTTTCACCCCTGGCACGTATGGCCTATATCCCAGTTCTTCTACACACAATAAATAAAATCTTACAATAGAAAAAAGATGGCTTACAAAAATAAACTATCCTCAGATAAAAATTCAGAGTAAAATAACTATCTTACTTATCAGAATGTTTTAAATAGAAATATATCTTCTTAAAAGTAGAAATTTAAGCAAAAAGTTTTTAATTTAGAGTATTACAGGGCTCTCTAGCAATGTCTTAGAAAAAGCATATTGCCTCACATTATTCCACTTCCGTTGCCAAAAGCTTGGTCTTTAGGTTCCTGAATGGGCTGAATATTAACATATAGATCCCTAATCTCCTTTCTGATGCACCTCACAGCTGCTGCCGCCATATCTTTTGCTACCTATTTTGGCAAGACAGAAAAACAGAATAAAATGAATGACTGTTTTGACAATTGATTTCAAGTCCTTAAAGACATATAAAAGAATCAGAAACGTGTATGAGCATTATCTAAAAATCTGATTTCAAGAGTAAAGATTATTGCTCTTTCTATAAAAGGCCTTAGGTGATCTCTGAAAACAGCTCACTTAGCCACAAAACCCTACAAAATCATGCAAATCAATATATTCAAATCTTCATGTTCATTTTAAGAACACTCATGAAACTGCTGGGTCCATCAAGGGTATGTGTATGCAAAAAGCTTCCCAGTGTCTAAAGGGTGTCACTTTATAGAAAGAGGCTCCCTGATGGTGCAAGAGGTTAAGTCTCAGCATTATGAAGCTTTTAGCAGCTACTGCAGCATGAGTTCGATCTTCCACCAGGGAGCTAACTCATGGCATGGCAGACTTCTCCTGTCCCACCTGCTGCTCCCCTCAGCAGCATGCAAGACATGCGTCCCATAGTTACAGTGGTGGTGCTGGGAGGTGTGCCCAGGTCAAACACTGGAGCTGGACAGTGGTTGGGGCCCACAAAGCACTTAATTTTTACATGTTTCAAAATGCAGGGAGTAATGCTGGACTTAAGAAGTTAGATGGAGATTCTCTGGCCACTGAGCACATCCAGATGAACAAAGCCCGCAAGAGGCAGTGTACAAATTAGGGAGCCCATGGTGGAATTAACCCATTCATGAGCTCTCCTGGCCACACTGAGAGTATCCTTATTTGAGAAAGGGCAGGTTGTTGCAGAGAAGAAAAAGATATCCCAGAAGAACCAAAGCAGAAACTCACAGTGTAAGAATAAATTCAATACAAGAAATGCCAATGAAAGTAGAAGTTGGGGAAAGGAGAATAAGTAGAGAACACTGAATTTTAAGAAAAAAAGTTAATGAAAGGATTTATCAAAACATTAAATTTTTAAGAAATTTAAAATTTAAATTACATCATACTTATTAATATATACATACCATCTGGACAACTTACTTTAAATGGCAAAACACCAGCAACGAAAGCTCTTCCGTAGATCTTAGTCACAGAGCCACGGTCAGTTAAATTTATTGAGTTCAACTGTTTAACTGGTGACATTTGAACAGTCACTTCACCACCTCCTTTTGGGTAGTAGCCCCTATAAAGAGTATGACAAACATTCAGATAAACTGTGGAACAAAAATAAAGCTCAATATTTACAATAACATGACTGATCTTTAAATATATGACTCATGTTTGAAATTAAAATATTTAAAACCATGTTTCCCAGGTTAGCCTAAAGTTATACATGACTATTTAATTTTAAATTACACAAAAAATTAAACTCTGGGCCCTTCCTGGTGGTGCAGCAGGTTAGAGCACAGCACTAAGAAACTGAAGCCATTTCCACATGAGTTTGATCCCAACCCTGGAGGTGACCCACAAGGCACAGCAGACCTCTCCTGACCTGCCCACTGCTCCCCTCAACAATGTACTTTGTCAATCTGCCTGTTCTGCTCCCCACTCTGTCTCTGGTGAATCCTCTCACTGCCCCTGCACCTCTGGCCTGTACCCTAGTTCTGGCTGCAGAAATAAATCTTTAAAAGAAAATTTAAACTCCAGCTCCCCATCACTCTAGCCACATCTCAGCCGCTCAACAGTCTCCTGTGGCTCAGGGACCATTCGCACAGTAGAAACAGACAGCACTGCTGTTACTGCAGAAAGTTCTACTGGATTGTGCCATTTAGAATAGCAGCCCCTGAGTGGCAGACCTTTGTTTTGTTCCTAAATTCCTAAAACTGTGTTTAGAACATAGCAGGGCTCAATAAATAATGATGAATATTTAAGTAGCTGAACACTAATAAAATTTTAACTGAAGCATTTGAGTTCCATTTATGCTAGAGAAGTTGCGGAGACTACACAGATAGAAGTGACAAAGCTCCTGCCTCATGAGCGGCAACCCCTCTGGTCATCAGCTGGCCCCACGTACTGTCCAGCAGGACACACGTCGGGCTGTCCAGAGTACTACAACAGAAGCGTAACTATGAATCCCAACTGAGGCACAGAATGAACAGGGTTCATTCTGAAACAATAAAGGATTTCTAATTTTTAGGAAAGGAGAGAGAAAACATGGACAAAAAGACATGTCAGAGACATGAAGTATGTTTAAGAGATCCAACAGCAGTTAAGAGCACACAGGGTGTTGTAAGGAGGAAGGAGAGTCAAGGAAGATGAGTATATTGGAACAACACTGCAAAGCACTTCAACTCCCTGCCAGGAAATCAAGCCTTGTTATATGGCAGAAGGGAAGACTCAAATGTCTGTGTGTTTCTCAGGGCAGTGACTGTGACTGCACTGTGGAAGGAAATCCCTTTCAGGACCCTGACTAATCCACCAGTTAGCACAGTGACGCTTCAGTCTGTGCTGAGTATAGATAACACTACAGGTGAAGGTGTCTCAGGGAAATATTTCTCCCAAGAAGCAAGTGTATGTCACTGGTAGCTGCTTTCAAATTTCTACACCCCCACTGGAGAATGATTTAAAGTCACAAAGCATAATTATCTCCTGCAAGAAATCTGATATATTAGGTGGCTACCAAAACAGTAGTTTCCCAAGTCTAAGTTTTCTATTAGTTTTCACACAACGAGAAGAAACAAGCAACTTACCTCATTTTAATGTCACAATTAAATTTGAAACCAAATTTTTCAACAATCGGCTTGAAAACCTGAAAAATAAGATTGTTACTTTACCCACCAATATTCACTGATTCAACAAGTATATGTGTTAAACAAAAGCACTGAGTTAGTAATGAGATAGTATAAATAAAGAGCAATATATGTTTAGGCTAGTTGTATTTTCAAACAAAATAATGGACATGTAATTGAAATTGAAAACTCCAACAGTTTATCAGTCTGTGTAAATCTTATCTGATGAAAAGGAATACAAATTCCAAATACTTGAAACCAATCATTATTTTACTACAGAGTAATGTATCCAGAATGTATACTGCATGAAATTAGGATGTGTTGATGAACAGCATTCTATTCGGTCTTCTCATTTTTTCTTACACAGTTGAATTCCCATTGAGTATACAATGCTTTATTTTTTTTAAAGAATTATTTATGCACACAAGAACTGGGGTACAGGCCAGAGGTGCAGAGGATGAGAGGATTCACCAGAGTAGAGTGGGGAGCACAACAGGCAGATCTACTGAAACATACTGAGGGGAACAGTAGGCGAGACAGGAGAGGTCTGCTGAGCCATGGGGGTCAGCTCTCTGGTACTGCAGTGGCTGCAGACAGCTTCATAGTGCTCTGCCTTAACCTATTGTGCCACCAGGGAGAGCTCCTGTTTTGTTTTTTTTTTAAAGTATGTAAACAAAGGTACTTTTCCAATACCATAAATTCTTCCTAAATAATATCTGAATAACTACATGACATTCTAGAATAATTTTCCTAACCATCCACTAAGTTTTCTTTACTACTTAAAAATATATATTATATAATGACAATTATAGCATATAGTTTAATCGAATACTTTTAACATTTATATTTTGTTATATCTTGTAACATTTAATTAAGGCTATTTTCTTAAAGTGGAATTACTAGATAAAGGGAGATAAGCTTTAATTTTCACTATCCTGGGTCCCTCCCTGGTGGTACAATGGATTAAAGCACAGCACTACGAAGCTACCACAGCCACTGTAGCACGAGTTTGATCCCCAGCCAGGGAGCTGACCCACAGAAGAGTCTGTGGCAGACTCTCCTGCCCAACCACTACTCCCTTCAGCAGTGTATTTCATACCTTCTGCCTGTTCTGCTCCCCATTCTCTCTGGTGAATCCATTTGTCCCCTGCTCCTCTGGCCTGGGGGGCAGGTCTGTATGCATAAATAAATAAATCTTTAAAATATTTTTTTTCACTATCCTATCAAGTTGAATTTAAAGATTACACCATCTATTAAAATGGTAAAAACAAAAAAGCCTTCGCATTAAAAGTGGAGAAGCAGGCCCTCCCTGGTGGCGCAGCAGGTTAAAGCACTGCACTGAAAAGCTAAAGCCACTTCTGCATGAGTTCGACTCCCGCCTGCCCCGGAGGTGACCACATGGCGTGGCAGACCTCTCCTGAACCACCCGCTGCTCCCCTCAGCAGTGTACTTCATCGATCTGCCTGTTCTGCTCCCCACTCTGTCTCTGGTGAAGCCTCTCACCGCCCCTGAGCCTCTGGCCTGTACCCCACTTCTGTATGTACAAATAAATAAATCTTTAAAAAAAAAAAAAAGTGGAGAAGCAGAAGAGTTGTAATTTTCATAGAGCGCTAGTAAAAAATACAAAATACTATTGCCACATTAGGTGCCAAAACAACTTGAGAGTGTCTCATAAGGTAAGATGTACATACACTGTGTTGTAACCCAACAGTCCTCTCCTAAGAACTTACCCAAGAGTAAGGAAAACTTATGTCCACACACATAAAAAATACCCGAATGTGTAAACAATGGCCTTATTTGTAACTGCTTCAACTGGAAACATCCCAATGTCCACTCAACAGATGAATGGATCAACCAGCCACACAGGATATCCATTTAATAAACTACTGCTTTACTTTTATTTCTTAGACAAGGAAAACAGATGCATCTTAAAAATATTATATTATACATAATATACTACAGTATACATGCCACATATTCCATTTCTTTATATGATAATGGGGAAGGGAGGAGGCAAAAACTGTGACAAAAACCAGATCAGGAGTTGCAAAAGGCTGGGGGATAAGAGGAGGATGGGAGTGACCGCCGAGGTGTGTAGAAGAAGTTTTCACACTGATTCAATATCTTGATTACAGTGGCTGGTTCACAAACATGTATCAAAAATCACAGAACTTGTACTGAAAAGAGTGAGTAATTACACCAAAATAAATCTGGAGAAAAAAAATCTTTCTCACTAGTTTCATGGGCATACAACTATGAGTTTTATCATTTTAAAAACTTAGTCACAATATATTTAATCCTTTAGTTTTATGTTATGGTAGTAAGACTATTTATCATGAGCTCTACCCTTATAATAAGTTTAAGTATACAAAAAATTATTATTGACTGTAGATGCAATATTATAGAGCAAATCTCTCGAGGTTATTCATCTTGAAATCATTAGAAATTCACTGATCTTCCCCAGCTACCATTCTACTCTTTCATTCTATTAATCTGACGAGAGTAACCTCACATAAGTAGAATCATGCGAGTATATGACTGGCTTATTTCACTTAGCATAATGCACTCAAGTTCCATCTGTATAGTCACATTCCAAAATTTCTCTTTTTAAAGGCTGAGTAGTATTCCATTGCAGATACCACATCTTCTTTATCCATTTATCTAGTAATGGACCTTTAAGCTGTCTCCACATCTTGCAATAATAAACAGTGCCACAATGAATATGGGAATTCTAAAATATCTGAGACTCTGACTGACCTCTTTTGACTACCCAGAAGTGGAATTGTTGGATGATACGGTATTTCTATTTTTAATTAATTGAGGCACCTTTACAGAGTTTTCCATAAGAGCTGTACAATTTTACAGACCCGGCTATAGTGTGCAAGGGTTCCATTCTCTCCATATCCATACCAACACATGCCAAACATACTATTTAGTTGTGTTGAATCTTTTCTTTCAAATTGTAATTGCTATATTCATAAAATTATTGATTTATACAGTAAATGTTATAATATATACTTCAAGAAATATTCTGGAGGTTTTTAAAGAATTCATAATGAACACTCTTCTAAGATAAAACGTAAAATCTAAAGTAAGCATAGTCTCTCAGTCTCTCCTATAATAGAACTAGACACCAGGAACAAATGTATAACAAAAAACACTCAGGACATATTTAAATAGAGAATGGAGATGCAGAAGGACACACGAGATAATCTTAGTTCGTCAATGAAATCAAAAGCCCTTACCATTGCTGTGTAATCAATCTGCGGTGCCATTTCAGCATTGGTGCCACCTCTCAAGCGAAGCTCTGATGGTGAAGCGGCAAAGAGAACACAAGGCATGGAGACCTGCATCAAGAGGCACACGCTCCTAAGGAGAAGGCAGAACAGCTTGGCTACATTTTCCTTTTTAAGTCTCAAGAAAAGGGCCCTCCCTGGTGGCACAACAGGTTAAAGCACCACACTGTGAAGCTGTTGCAGCCACTGCAGCACAAGTTTGATCCCCAGTCAGGGAGCTGACCCTCACGGTGCGGCAGACCTCCTCTGGCCCGCCCACTGCTCCCCTCAGCAGTGCATTTCAGTTAATCTGCCTGTTCTGCTCCTCACTCTGTCTCTGGTGAATCCTCTCACCTGACCCCATTCCCCAACCCCTCCCCGCTACACCTCTGGCCTACTTAGTTCTTGTATGGATAAATATATAAATCTTAAAAAAAAAAAGTCACAAGAAAACACTACCACTATATACCCCATCTGTTGAAGCACAGACAACTGAGATGGGTAGATGCCTCTTTAAAGTTAAAAAAACACTTCAGGGCTCTCCCTGGTGGTGAATCCTCTCACCCTGGCACCCCTGACCTATACCCCAGTTCAGTATGTATAAATAAATAAATCTTTAAAAAAAAAAAATCACAAGCAAAACACTTCAGTCTGCGAAATAAAATTCTGAATCCCAAAGGCAATTCTTCACAGAAAGAACTAGTCTTAAATGAAAAAAGCAATTAATTCTCAGTTTGAAACCAGTAATAAATGAATTAGCTGTATGATCTGAGATAGTTCCTAACATTCTAGAAATAGTAAATGTTTGTATGTGAAAACCCAATAAGTGTAAGAAACATTCCAGAAGCAAGTTAAGGTACAGTTCCTATCACTGTGGAATACATGATATGATAGAATAATAATTTACAATGACTCACTTTAGAGTCTTATCATCACATAGAAAATGTTTTACAATAATAATGCTTGTTATATTCACTTCACTTAGTCATACAGTAGTCAAATAAAACAAGAAACTGTGACAAATAATTATAGAACATGAGCTACTTTATAAATTAAATGCTTGGTCAGATTTTTCAAATGAGCCATTATCTCCTTTCTCTGAAGACAAAAGAAAGTAGCCATATTTTAAACAAATTAGAGTTTGGAGTTTAACATAGCCTCTCCACACAAAATGACAGGCATTTACTTAACTTTCTTGTGGCATACAGAGTGTATGCATTAGAAACACAAAATCTCAAAAAAAAAAAAAAGTAGAATGTATCACTAAAAATGTATTTCATTAGTTCAGTGAATATTTAGTAACTGTGTAATGTGTCAAGCAACCTAAAAGGAAAATGAATGCAACTCCTCTTCTGAAGGAGCAAATGAAAAAAATTGGAAATTTTAGTTAAATAGAAACATAGACTTAAAACTACTAAAATTCTTGGCCCTCCCTGGTGGCGCAGCGGGTTAAAGCACAGCACTGAGAATCTGAAGCCACTTCCGTATGAGTTCGATTCCCGCCTGCCGCCTGCCCCGGAGGAGACCACATGGCGAGCCAGACCTCTCCTGACCCGCCCGCTGCTCCCCTCAGCAGTGTACTTCGTCGATCTGCCTGTTCTGCTCCCCACTCTGTCTCTGGTGAAGCCTCTCACCGCCCCTGAGCCTCTGGCCTGTACCCCAGTTCTGTATGAATAAATAAATAAATATTAAAAAAAAAAAAAAAACTACTAAAATTCTCATAGTTGATGCTCTCTGAGGAATTCAACACATAGAGCGTTTCTTTTCTCCAATAAAAGAATCTGAGAATAGTAAAGAAAACCTTAAGTTAGGAGGATAAAGAATTGTAAAATCAAGGTGGACACTTGAGAAAATAGTTAATGGTGCTGAAGTACTTAATCACAATTAGGGATAAATGTTAGAATGTAAATAACATGTATTTTCTTGCTAGGAACAAGCTTTCTTCTTTTTTTTGGTTGCCTGAATAGAGCTAGATCATCAATTTCAAACTCATTTCCGATCCATTCCAGTGGGTTAGACCATGCTAATTCTAGATCTGCCCGACTTGTGGAAGTCACTTAAAACCTGAGCCTTCACTCTCATCACAGGTAGCAAAAGGAGTTAAATACAAGGTTTCGACTTTTCCACTTGCATTTTCAAAGTTCTGTGATTCTGTTTTAGTTCAATTTTAGATAGTTCGTTGCTTACAACAGCAAACAGCTAAATAACCAGAAAATACAAAAGTTGGCCCCCATGTTTTGTCAATCGGAGGATTCCTAGAAAATAATGAAGGCTCAATGTAATTGTTAATATCCATTTTCCAATGGGTAAAAGTCAAGATTACAACTGAAAATTTCTAAATAGGGATATCCAAATATTAAATGACAACAAAAATACCTAGACTGAAAGTAGGAAAATTTGGTTATAACCAGCTGAAGCCAAGAACTAAATCTGTTCCAATGCAAAGACTACAGCTCATGAAAACTTAGTCATCTTCACATATTTAATTTCTAAATAAAAGGTAAATATACCATATTACACACAAGATGAAATTCCAGACATAACTATAATTAAAAAGCAATAAGCTGCACCCAAAACGTTATGGTCTCTATCCCTGAAAGGTGTTTTATCTCCATTTTAGAAATGAGAAAATTAAAGTTCAATGAAGTTAAGCAATTTGTCCAGTTCTTGGTCGCACCCAGCTGTGACTATGAGTCTCACACTAAAGTCCATATTTAAGAGGAATATAAGGCCACTTACCCTGCAGTCTTGGTATCTGCTGTGTGGGTTCCACCTTTGATCTTCCCTGGTGTGAACGTTATTTCTGTTGAGCCGATTTCTGCCCCCTCCAGATGCCCATCACACAAATCTCGAATCATTTCCAGTCCAGATAAATGTTGAGGCCTTCAGGTCATAATACTGCATCAAAACGTGTGCATTCAGAGTGCCTACATCCCCACATTTTATGACACATTTACAAAACTGCAATGGCAAGAAAACAGCAAGCTCTAAGCACAGTAAGTGCTGTATCTTCAGTGTTAAGAGTTTCATTTTGGTTGTTATGCATGAAACCATGTTAACATTCATTGATTTAAGGGTTCCTTCCAGATCCATTATCTTGTCTACAAACACACTGATATATTCTTACAAATGAAAAGTGTGCAAAGGAAGATATAACTACCTAAGAGCTGCTAGTCTCAGTTACTAAATAATCTATGGCAGAACTATGTTCCCTGAAAATTCCTGTATTGAAGACTTAACTCCCTATCCCTAGTCACGAATGTGACTGTAGTTGGAGACAAATCTAGAAGGGTGATTAAATTAAGATGAGGCATTTATGGTGGGTCTGAAACCATTCTCACTGGTGTGTTTATAAACCTCTGGATTAGGAAGACACAGAGCTGCCCATGTAAAGAAGCAGCGAGAATGGCCACCTCCAGTTCAAGACAGAGGCCTGGAGCAAGATCCTCCTCTGGATCCTCAAAGGAAATCAACTCTGCTGGCACCTTGATCAAAGTCGTTATCCTTCAGAACTGTGAGAAAATAAATTTCTGTTGTTTGGGCCACCCCATCTGTACTATTTCCTTATGGCAGTGCTAGCAAAGGAATAATAACATTTCTACACAGTCTTAATGAATCATAGTTCTCCTTTAGTAAATGATGCAAGCGGCCGCTCTAACACAGGGAATTAATATTACTACATAACAATAACTAGCTTTTAATAATTTCAAAATGGATTGTGATAAAATTAAAGACTAAGAGAGTAATGAGCTACTACAATGGAGTATAACTACGCAAAATACAAGGGATCATCGCAGGTGCTCTTCTAACAGGTGCACATATCTGAAGCTTATCTATCTAGAGGCACACGGAACTTTTCTCGAAAGAAGAAATAAGGTCAAAGTGTCAATGTTTTCTCCTCTGCACAACTAGTAAGTAATGTGGGTCCTATTCTCAGCAATTTCCCTTGAGGTCTGAATGGATACTGGAATCAAACATCTCAGAGTCATTTCCTGTTCCCAGATTCTAAAATGTGCGGTAGCAGAAAATACACTGGTTAAAAAGTGTTGTATCCCAAATGTTGGCGAGGATGTGGAGAAAAAGGAACTCTCCTGCACTGCTGGTGGGAATGCAAACTAGTACAACCACTATGGAAAACTGTTTGGAGGTTCCTCAAACTGCTAAACATGGAGCTTCCCTACGACCCAGCAATCCCACTCCTAGGTATCTACCCAAAAGACACAAAAACACGGATTGAAAAAGATACCTGTACCCCCATGTTTATTGCTGCTTTATTTACAATTGGAAAAACATGGAAGCAGCCCAAATGCCCAAAAGTAGATGACTGGATAAAAAAGATGTGGTACATATATACAATGGAATATTACTCAGCAACCAAAAAAGAGAAACACATGTCTTTTGCAGCAACCTGGATGGAGCTGGAAACGATCATGCTTAGTGAGATAAGCCAGAAAGAGAAAGAAAAATACCGGATGGTTTCACTCATAGCAGGAGTATAATGGACCAGGCGAGAAAATAACAAAAATAATGAACAACCATATACCAGACACATTTTGAGGGGGTGGAGTGGGGAATGGGATAAAAAACGGGGGGGGGGAAATGCACGGGATTATGGTGATGGCACACTGGTGATTTGGTGATGGGAAACCCGCGGGGATTACAATCGAGATGGGGGGAAAAAAATGTACAAAATGATGTAAAAATAAACTTTTGTAATAAAAATTTTAAAAAATGCTAATCATCACTTGAGACTTCAGCAAATTGTAGTATTCTTGTGGGTGGGGGATCTTGTAAAATATACAATATTTGCAAAAGCCAATAAAAGGAAGTGTACCTGTATTATTAAAAAAAAAAAAAAGTGTTGTACCCTTGCCCTCTAGGCAGTTCTGCTCGGTGAAGCGGGGAAATATCTGACAGATTAACTATTTAGGAAACGAGACAACATGGTCCTATTCTCACAAAACACATAGATGGAGAAAACGTGGTCCTGTTTTCTAACCTGCCTTTTGAGGCTTCCAAGAATTCACATTCCAGGCTATACCCAACCGCCCAATCAGGAGCACCGTTCTCGGTACCCTGCCCCACCCCGTCCCGGCTTCCAGATACCCCAAACCTGGGGTCGGGATCCCAGCCCACCTGGCGCCGCACCTCCAGCTCCCACCCCGTAACCAAAGCCCCGCCCCTATCGCTCCAGGCGGCCTCAAGCCAACACCCCCTTTCCCTCGCGCCCCAGAGCCCCGAGGTACCTCAAACCCGGGGTGCTGCGACCGGCTCGGATTTTCTGCACCCGCAAGGGGAGGCCCAGGAGACAGCTCAGGGCCGTGGAGACCCTCAGGATCTGACCGCCCTGCCAGGGTGCGGGTGCGGAGAGAAAAGAGAACATTAGCGCTGAAAGCGCTCCTCGCGCCTGGGATGCAGAAGCAGCCCGCTTTCCAGGGTCTCCGCACTCACCCCTTCCATGATCCCGCCATCGACCTCCACCAGCTGCCCCGCCATCGGGAGCGCCCCGGGGCCTGGCCCGCAGCGGCAAAGCCGTCGCCCGAGCAGGAGGAAGAAGAGATACTGAAGCCGGCTCCGCAGCGCCGCAACGTCGGTGCTCGCTCAAAGCAGCGGGGGCCTTACGGGAGGCGGAAGAAGTCGCGATTCCGGAAACTGGATTCAACAGACGCGAACCCCTTCTCGGCGCCGCGATCCCAGCCTCGCACGGCGCAGAGCCTGTGCGCACGCGCGTCGCTCGCCGCGGCCGGAGAATTCTTGCTCCGGAATCGGAAACCACCCGGGCCGACGCGTGGAGCTGGAGATGCTCTGCTGCACCCTACGAAGTGTGAATCTGGACCCAAGAAAACTCTCAGGTTGCAGAAACCCTCCGTTTCAACTGTAACCGTATCTCCTAGTTATTGACAGGCTTGGGCAAACATCTGTGTTTATCTCTGTTTTCTCGAGGACCTTACGGTCCCCTGAACTAGGGACACGCAGAGATGAAGACATGAGAAAGGTCCGGACCCTACAAATGCATAGGCTCCCTTTACCTTTTTTCCGCATCTGCCTTCTCTGCAGCCTGTATCTTGAAGTGTATGTGCCCTGGTGTATTGACATCAATAAGCTTCGAGTTCTTCCCACGGTATATTTGTTTGTGTAGTGTATAATCGCTTTCTTCAGTGAGATGCGACTTGTGGAAGAGTGGAAAAGGGCAGGATTCGAATCTCCAATCTAAAAATCTGAAACGCCAGCGTTGTGCCACCTAGTCCGAGAGTGAGTGCGAGCCCATGACTCCGGGAAACAGCTAACTCAATTCCCTCCGAGCAGGGCAGAAACAGCAGGTTCTGACTCGTGCTTGTGGCTCAATTCCGACCTTAACTGAGTTATCAAGTAATAAGCCAAGTCTCAAGGTAAGCAAAAAGTAAGGCAGTTTCCACTTCTAAGTCATTGAAGGTACACTGGAAAAACTGAAATCAAGTACAGTGTCACCCACAGTAAAATAAAATTAACTGATCTTAAAGTTAATGAGTAAGGGGGAATAGCAAACAGCCGGTTTTACTAGGCGTCAGGCACTGTACGCATTTGCAACTTCTAGAAGTACCAATTTTACCTTTTATACAGTTGCATATATAAAAACAATTTGCTACAAGACTACACAGTTCTGATGTCAATGCCTTTGTCCCCGAAGGGCAGTGTTCTACTACTCGTATGACAGAATGTTCTGGGAATGCACACAGTTTACTCAACCCAATCTTGATCATCTCAGTATTGTCTCTGGGACTTGATATAAGATATTAATCAAGGAAGTAATCATATTTGCATATTAGAATGTTGACTTCGGTAGTATGTGGAAGGTGAAAGAGTCCTAAGCCTGAAGAGGAAAATACAATGATGTCAGCAAAAGATGATAGCAAAGCAGTTGGTAGTGGTGATGAAATTTAAAACTTCTTCTCCTGGGACTCTCTCGTGGCACAGGGGTTGAAGACACAGCATTATCAAGCTATCCTCAGTCACTGCAGCACCCAGTTTGATTTGGCTAGCTAGGAAGCCAACCCACATGGCACAGCAGACTTCCCCTGTCTTGCTGGCTGTTCCCCTCACAGTGTATTTCAGTAGATCTGCCTGTTCTGCTCCCCAGTCTGTTGAATCTTCTTACCTCTCTCCTCCACACCTCTGGCCTACATCCTAGTTCTTGTATGCATAAATAAATCTTTAAAATACATTAAAAATAAAATAAAAGCTCTACTCTTGATTATCTGACACTTGGATTCCCATTTCAGCAACTTACCTTTCTCAGAAGAATATTGGTCTTCATTTCTCTATTTTGTTTTGTTTTTAAAGATTTATTTAAGGGCCCTCCCTGGTAGCACATGAGTTAGGACACAGTATTGCAATGCAAGCTGGCCACAGCCGCCTCAGTGAGAGTTCGATCCGTGGCCCTGGAGGTGACCCACATGGCGTGGCAGACCTCTCCTGACCCGCCTGCTGCTCCCCTCAGCAGTGTATTTCATGGATCTGCCTGTTCTGCTCTCTGGTCTGCTCTGTCTCTGGTGAATCCTCTCACCACCCCTGCACCTCTGGCTTGTATCCCAATTCTGTGTGAATAAACAAATAAATCTTAAAAAGATTTATTTGTGCTTTAATCGGCTGCACCACCAGGGAGGGCCACTAACAGCATTTTTATCAGCCAGAGCTTGTTGGAAAAGCAGTATCAGTGCTCACCTAGAACAACGTAGTTGGATATGAATTTTAACAAGATTCTCAGTTGATAGGAATGCTGATTAAAGTCTGAGAAGCACTGTGCTAAAGAACCTGTTGCAGGTACACCAGAAAAAATTAGAAACGTGCACAACAGCATTGATAGTAATAGCAAAGAACTTGAAATAACACAAATGTACACTGCATTTTGTTATTATGCCTGATTTAGCTGTTACATTATTCTTTTGTAAGTGTACAATATAAGTTTCAAAAGCATTTCAAGGTATGTATGCATATATACAAACCATAAAATTCACCTGTTTTAAGCATACAGATTTTTTTAAGCAAATTTATAGAATTATGCAAGCATCTGGTAACAGGAAATTTTCATAAATTTCATAAAATTCACCTGTTTTAAGCATACAGATTTTTTTTAAGCAAATTTATAGAATTATGCAAGCATCTGGTAACAGGAAATTTTCATCACCACAAAGAGCTTTTTCTTTTCTACCTTTATAGTTAATCCCTATTTCTGCTCCCTTGCCCCAGGCAACCAGTAATCTGCTCTCTGTCTTTGTAGATTGTCCTCTGGACATTCATATAAATGGATCTTGTAATATGTGACCTTTTGGGTCTGGCTTCCTTAGTAATCTACTGTAAGTAAAAGTGGTAAATGTAAATATTTAAAAAGAGGGTAGGAGACTAGGTATTTTCTCTGAAAAACAGTGGGGTTAAAGGGGAAGTAAAAGGAAGGTGGTATTGGTTTCTGGGAAGGAAAATAACTTCCTGGAAAGACAACTACTACATCTTTGTATACAAACACATGCATGTCAGATCTTTAGACATACTCATAATACCTGTAGAAGTATCTGACGAATGGGAAAGTTAAAAAAAAGTTCTTCGGACTATTGCAGATTTTATCATATACGCATTGATTTAAATTATTAATTACAATAATGTAGTGTAAAATACACTGAAAAGCAAGTAAAGCAAAAAAAAAAAAGTGTGAGTTTGGTTAGTATTTGTAAATCTGTGAAATACCTGAGAATTTATTTCACAGGAACTAACCTTCAATGTTAAACGTGATGTCTTTGTTCGTGTTTTTCCCCCTTCTGTAATTCTTCAGACATCAGTGTAGATTTTTATTCCTATGTAAAAGGCAAGAATAGACAAATGTCATCTTGGACATCATTAGAAATTGATTTTCTAGTTGCTCTGAGGAATATTTGACTATTAAAGTTCTAATATTTTCTTTACTTGTTTCACTTGGCCTGAATCTGCCATTTCTCTAAGATTCAAGTACATCAAAGTTCTGTGTCTGTGACATACATTACATCGCTGGGCGGTAACGCTTGACATTTTGAATAGGAGAATACCGACAATATATTGGAACAGGAAGTTCCCAAGTCTGCATATACTCTGCTACTCTGCCAGGCCTGCTGCTTGGAAGTGGGGTGGGGGTGTGTGTGGGTCTGTTACTTGGATTCTGCTCCTTGCTGGAGCAGAAAGTTCCTGCAGTGTGCCACAGTTGTAGTTATGGCTACGTTGACCCCTCCCCCCCAACAATAAAGAGTGTTTAGGCTATATGGGCGGGGTGATAATGTTCCTCATACAACCTGTACAAAACCTCACCATTCCTGTAATTGGGGGCTCAGCCTTTTGGGACTGATCCCACAGAGCCTGCTGGTGTGACAAGTAAATCTCTCTCTGTCTCTGAGTGCCACCTGATTTCTCCGGGAAACTGCCCTAACAATACAGCACACATGGGATGACCTTGTTCATATTACATGAACAAAAAACTGAAAAGGGAATTTTGGCACTCAAGCGAATAAGAAATGCCAGTCGTTGGGAAGAATACTAGTAAAGGCTTGCAGGTCAACCAGTGGTACCTTGTCTTGCTACAAAGCATGGAAATGTCCTGTTTCTGTGATCAGCTGTAATAGAGCTGGAGAAAGGAGCTGTATTTCCACTCATCCCTCAGGGTCAACACGATTTTCTCATGTTTTTCTGTTTTCCCCTAACACTATTTCCCTGGCTGCATGGGCTAAAAGGATGGTTGTGGGTGCACACGGACTTACACAACAGTGCCTCCTCCAACTTTGACCCCGAAATTAAATTTGGAGTGCTCTCGGCCCTATCCTTGCTCCTCCCCCGCCCGGCTCGCCCCTGGCTACCCGCTCCTGCACCCCAAGGGTTATCGCAGGCCCCGCCCCGCTCCCTGGTTGGCTGATGGGTGGGAGGCTCGTTCCCTCGCTCTCCATTGGCCGCTCAGGGGGAGGCGCGATCTCCTGCTCCTGGTTGGTCGCCCGGCTTAGCTGACGCTTCCCACCACCCGGCGGCGGTCATTTCCGGAGTAAGATGGCCGCAGTGCGTGTGCTGAGGACCTGGAGCCGGAATGCGGGGCGGCTGGTAAGCAGGCTGGGGCAAATCTGAGGTCGGGGAGGTGTGCTTAGCCCGGAGTCCCCGGGAGAGGTGTGCCGCTCCGTCTCTGCAGCGATGCTGGCTGGTGTGATGGGC